TGAATGACGGTGTAAAAACTCAAATGGACCTTGATAGAAAAAAGGGTCCCCAGGCCTGGCTTTTAACTTTAAAAAGATGATTTGATAGATAGTAATGAATAAATGACGACAGTGACTGCTGTGTTTCCAATCGAAACATGTGGAAATGCTGCACATTGCCAAAGAATTAGTTATAGCAGATTGCTGATGTCAAAGCTCCAAAAAAAGATCTTGTGATTGTGACATGTCTCAAAGCTAAATAATATTCTAGAGAACAGAGAAGAAAGTCCCTTTCAGACTGTTTGGAATGATTCTTTGGATCAGGGTAATATGTTTTCCTCTATTTTCTGTGTGGAGGCAAATTATTTCAAAACTGCATTTCCTGTTATGCCTAAATCTACTGCAGACATACAGACCCTTCTTTAAACTTAGGGTTGGTGAGCTGTATCTCAAACACTCTTTATCTTATTTGTTGAAATCCTCTTCACGTCCCAATAGCCATCAATAAATAATGTCATCTGAAAAAGGAAAATGCTGGTGTCTGTGGTCCTCACAGGATTGTTATAAACGTGACCAATCATTTGGTTAGGACAGAATTAGTTAATTGGTTGGAGTACAGGTCTGCCACTAATTAACCTGCCTGCATACATACTGGCCATGTTCTCATTGCACATTAGTAGTAATCAGTGCCCAGTATTTTGGGGGCATAGCTTTGAGGAGAGGGTCGAGGATACCAACCCTAATGAGTGAAAATAAACTACTGCCCCCTCCATGCAGGCACACCCTCACTGACTTTCCATCCACAAACTCTATTTGTGTCTATTTCAACTGTTTTGATAATCAATGAATCATTTCCAAGTAAAATTAATTAAAAAATGCTTCTTCTGTTTTTCACTATTTTACATAAAAGTAAACTCAGCATCTTTGTGTTTTGGACTTTGGACCTCTTTGTAATCGGACACATCAAGACATCTGATAACATCACTCTGAGCTCAGAGGAAACTGTGACGTGCATATTTCCCCCATTCCCACACGTTTTATAACCTAAGGATATAAATGACAGTGTGATCTCTCTCAATGGGACAGGAAACTTCGGAAAAGATGTTGCTGGCCTCAGGCTGAGCCGTAAAACCTCACATGTAGAAATTAGTATTGTATACTGTACAATAAAAATAAAAATGTTCTATATACCAGAATCATTCAGTGCTCTCTCACCCTTTAAAAACAATCAGTTTATCAAGTGTAAACTGATAAATAAATAGAGTAATCAGATATATAGACTCCTTTCTTTAACTAGGTTTCCTATAGACTGGTTCAAAGACATCACACTCTGGAAAGTAATAATGTTTAACACTTAACACAAGAGATCACTGCCCGCTTCATTCAGGTACATAGCTGAAGAAACAATTACACTTCATTCTGTGTAACAGTAGTTTCACAAATGAGAACAACTTATGAAGAACAGCTCTTCATATATTTATACAGATGTATTTCATTGTAATACATCTGCCAGTTTAGATATTTCATTCTGGACCAAAGTGGTAAACCAACATACAGACCAGCATTCCCTTCACAAAGCCTTGCCAACAGTGTGCCAAAATATTAATAAATAACATCTAATGCTCCCCTGTCTTACCCATCAGCCAAAAATACACTGTTATTTAAAAACACAATACTTAATTCATCTATCATGGAGAAGTAAGTCAATCTGTACGCTACAGAAAAAAAGTAGACATACTTACTATTAACTACTGAAAAGCTTCACAACATTTGGAATAAAAGTGTTGATTAAATTGGTTTTGGGGCTTTGTTTATCCAAAACACATCATGGGTCTTATTCATTGTAGCATCCCGATACAAAAAAATTGCCTCTGGTAATGAAATTCTAAGAAAGTTTTTGAAGAACTTCCCCTCATGTTAGGTCTAGATCCTGGGAAAGATAAATGTTGCTCACAAGGTATCTCAGCCCTTATGAGAGGTGTTGTCAGGAGGAGGGAGAAGGACTTAAGAGGCTTTTTCCCCTATATAGAGGGAAAATGCTGTTATTAGGATATTTCAATAACCAGCAGTTGTAAGTAAACTGTACAGCACTTACCTGTGTGGGAACAATCATGTTTGTGTGCTGCAGACTCCATGCTCACTTTTAAACTCAAACACAATCCATCACTTTGCACAACCTGTCACTGGTGCAGCACAACCCAATGGAACAAGGCATCAATCTGCGGCTGCGATCACTGATCTCTCAACATTCTCCCAGTGATCTAACAAACCTACACAGCCACTGAAATGAATCCATCAATCCAGCTGTCTGCTCCTCTGTCTATTCACTCCTCCATTCATTCATCAGACGGAGGAGAAATCATAAAGCACACTGGCCATCCATAACACTCCACAGGTTAACTGCTCACCTCACCCGTCTGCTCAGAGATAAGATTCATCCGCCCTCAGCTCCAGTACAGACAACCGGAGGAAGCAACAAGAGGACGCAGTTCAACAGAGTAAAGGCAGACCTCCGACCGGGCATGCAGGCTCATGTCAGGCGGCTCAGTTGGGATGAAACTGCAAGAAATGAGTCACGTGACCCCCAAGGTCCTTGTGACCTCTCAGGCTTGAAGCTACCAGCACAGATCAGTGGTGCAGAGGAATGTCCATCCCCTCAGGGCCAACACACACAGTTCGTTACATTACACACTTAAGATTACAGTCATTCAGCTGATGTCTTAGCCTGCTAATAATGTGTGTGAAAAGCAGGGGAATGATTCAGCAGCAGCAGAACAAACACCCTGCAGTAAGAAGATTAAAACTCAGCCGCATTAATGATATTTTTCTGATCACAGCTGAGCTGGAATCATTCGTAGTTTGATTTTTAAATAACTTATCAAAACTTCAAGCTGGAGTCTGCACTTCTCTTTATTCCTGAAACAAGTCATCAGTACACAACTTCACACAAAACTACAAACCTTTTCTGATTCCAGTATCTTAGATTTGAGGGTTTGCTGCTGATCTTGGATTTGACATTATTGTGAATTGAAAATCTGACTATTGGTCAGAGAAAACAATTCATGTCACAAACTACTTTGCTGAATAAACCAAGTGATCCATTTGTGGAAAGTTGATCCCACAAAAATGGCAAAAGCTTAACCTTCGTTTGGTGTAGTAAAGTAAAAAAGTAAATTCCATCAGACGACTAAGTGAAAAAAAAGCTATTGAAGGTTGTTCTGCTAGTTGCTATGTTAATTGTTCTGCCCAATAAATTGGCAGCCATGATGTATGGAATGCCGTTTGAATCCGAATTGAATAAAAAAAATAAAGACAAAGCTATTAATACAGCTGTAGCTATGGCAACAATGGGTCGGGTCTGCCATGCCAGAGTCTTTTAATTATACTGATCTAATTTGTCTGCGCGACATTTATCGAGAATATTTAAGAGTTGGTTCACTCATGGATTCAGGTGTGTTTATGCTTTTTTTATTTTTTATTCTGCACAGTTCATTTTACATCTTAAGAGGTAGCAGCTCCTTTATTAGGGCCGCATATTAATGGATGATGTGGCCGACTCATTCAGGGCTGAAGAAAAACTGAGTATAAATGTCAAAATATCGTCAATATCAAACCACTGATATGGAAAATGTTGACCCTCTGTCCTCTGGTGCCGGTTAAACACTACAACACAAACATTCTGTACAAACAAAGATGACAAACAGTGAGTGAAGCAAAAGATATTTTTTTAATTCAAAGTGAATCTTGACATAGTACACCATCAATTCATAATTTGACACTCACCAATAAGAGTCACCAAGAAGGACCCGCTTTTTGTGACAAAGTACATAAGGCTTGGTCACATTGAACTCACTGAGAACTAGAGGGGGGAAAAGAAAACGACTGCAAACTGGTAAGACATGTTATTACATCCAAATAATCATTTTCCCAGTCCTCGTATTGTTTTATATTGCACAGTGCAGTTGCTACATGTCAAACTAGTGTAGCATTTAAGGAA